CTCCTTGTCTAAGAGGTAGCAGCAGCAACAGCGCCCACCTTCTGGGCAGCTTCCTTCTTGGCATGATGAGCCTGTAGAACCGCAACAGCTTCATCCACCTGCCAGAAGTCACCAGTGGATCAGTGGCATCCAAGAGCGCCCCCAAGCCACCCTGGTGCCCAGGCCCAGGACAGAACAAGTCTACCAACCACTTCCCAGACACCACCAGGAGGCCACAACTCGTAAGGCATGATGAGGAGGGCCACAGAGCAGCAGACTCCTCTCTGTGGCCCTGTGCCGGGCCAGCTCACCTTGGAGCGCAGAGATTCCGGGGACTCCAGCATGTGCAGCAGCTCTGAGTTGTCTATCTCCAGCAGCATGCCCGTGATCTTCCCGGCTAGGTTAGCGTGCATTGTTTGGATGAGCGGGAACAATCGCTCTCCTGTAGGGAGGAATATTTACCCCCAAATCAGATGGAGTCACAGTATAGACCCGATGCCGGTATGCAGGCCTGGGCTCTGTGGTGTGCGGGCCACTCACCCAGCATCTGCTTCTGCTCCTGTGGGGGTGCTGCGGCCAACATGGAGGCAGTCAGGGGCTCCTGCCCCTGCACGTGGACTGCAGGCTGTGGAGCCTGGAACCAGGAGGTGGGCAGCAGGTTAGCAACAAAAGAAAGGGCTCTTTGCAGTGGTGGTTGGGGCAGTCCAGCCAATCATCGTCTGACTGGCTGCTGCTCTCTGGCATGGTTCTGTTCACAAAGAGCTAATACATCAGTCCTTGGGGACCGAGGGATGCAGGGTACACAGAAGTGGTATGAAGGGATCATTCATACACAATGAAAGCGTTAGGCAATTATAAGGTGAAATGAATGTACTAAAATGGACCTATAGCCTAAGCAAGGACACTATCGTACCTAACTGAGGTTATGAGGCATCTGAAGCCTTTAAAATAAGGCTACAGTGAACATTTGTGTAGGTGAGGCTTTTTCTTGAAGAGACTATTTCTTAAAACGAATTCCCAATAGATATTAAGTAACAGGGTGTGATTTTTAAAAATTACCATAATAAACCACATAGGAGCCCCTGGTGGCATACTGGGTTATGTACCGAGCTAATGCAAGGCCAGCAGTTCAAACCACCAGCCACTCCATGGGAAAAAGGTGAAGCTTTTTACTGCAGTAAAAATTTCATCTCGGAAACCCACAGGGGCAGCTGTGTGCTGCCCAATGGGGTCACTGTGTTGGAATTGACTTGATGGCAGTGGATGGCTGGTTTGGGGTTTTATCACCCACGTCCCTTTATTGTAAACTTTTATCAGATGTTTCATCACTGTGCAAGGCCAATGCTAGTCACAGACTTAAAAGTAGGGTCCCGTAGACGAAGGCTATGTTACGTGCCATCAAGTTCTGCGGAGTCGCAAACGTAGAATGCACGGGAGCAGGAAGGTTCAAGGTAGAGTGCTCTACACAGCAGCTAATGGGTCCGAAGGCTGAGTGCAGCTGCTCCCCACAGCCAGTGCACACCAAGCTAAGGCAATCTTGTCGCAGTGTGGGTGGGGTCGAACCAGAAGAGGTGATGTGAACTGTCCCCGACAGGGCAGCTAAGGATCAAGCAGGCTAGTGGACATGGCCCAGGCGTGCAAAAACATGGAGTGAAAAGCAGGCAGGGAGAACCAGAACACTCAGCACAGTTTGCATTATGTCCATTTTACCTTTTAGGGGCATAGGGGGTAACACGCTAGGCTGTTAACCACAAAGCCAGTGGTTCGAAACCACAATGGGAGAAAGATGAGGCTTTCTCCTGTGAAGTCTAGGAAACCCACAGGGGGCAGTTCCATCCCATCCTTCAAGGTCACCATGAATCAAAGTGGACTTGACGGAGTGAACCTTTTTTGGCTTTGCTTTTTCAAATTCCTGCCCTCCCGGGCCACCTCCAAGGCCAGCGACAGTGTTTGATGAGTTCACTATCCAGGGCACAGCAGGACCTCACCTGCAAAGGCTGTATGGCGGGATGGGGGCTGCGGACGCTGGAGGCGTATTTGTAAGGGACCACAGCCCGAGGGGCAGCGGCAGCAGCTACGGCAGCGCGAGGAGCTAAGTTCTGCACAGATGTGGGCACACCTTGGGGGGAGTGGAGTGGAAAAATAACATTAAAGCCCATCAATTTGGGTACAGACCCATGAAACCCCATCGTTCCCCATCTGTGTGCACCCAATACCACCTCCAGACTGGCAGCTGTCAGTCAGCCCTTGCTGGGCGGCACCAGCCCCACCAAAGTCCATAGCCAAGCGGTCCGGGCACTCAGACCCTACAACAGACCAGCAAATGCACATCAGTGTTGGCAGCAGCTGTCCAACTGGCCACGTCCCACGAAAGGAGCAAGTCCAAAGCACGTCACATCTCACACGGACACAACACATCTCCCAAGGGACCACGCCTGCTGCCTTCAGAGCCCACAACTCAGAAAAACACGCTACATTCCGTCAGAGGCAATCCCTCGGAAGCCACCTTGGAGGCACACACAGGCAGCGTCTAGTCACCCAGCGAGCGCCTCTGTAAGCCCATCGTGTTCGCTCGCAGTCAGAAGCGCCAAAGCCCCGCACCCAGAGCGTCTGTGCCACCTCAAGTACCTACCTAAGCACACAACTCAATTAAGAACCAGGACTCAGAAAACACTACGGCTGGGTTGAGCCTAGTCGTCCTGACTCCCGCCTCCCCGGGCAGTGCCTCTCAAGGCCAGTTTGCTCACCGACTCTCTGAGTAGTAGTAGGGAGGCCACGAGAGGCCGGAGCATTACCAGTTGGAGCCAGATGGCGAAGAGCTGGACGAGGCCCAGACTGGCGTAAAGCACTTGGCATTCCTTGGAAGCCTGGTGAAAAAAAACCCTGTACATCAACAAAGGCTAGGGGGATTGGGGCAGAGGGCTTAACAAACGCCCCTCTGGGAGGGTACACGTAGGGAAACCAGGACAGGGACAAAGCGACCTACCTTGGGGTCTCCCGCCTTGCTGCCAGCGTGGATTAGGCCTCATCTGTGCCAGCTGGTTAGGCGTGTAATAAGGAGGTCTTCCCTGAGCCTGTAATAAGAGAACAGCACCCATGAGCTTTTAAAGGACTGGCCCCCACAGGTGAGCAGTACCTCTCCCTCACCACTACCAGGCCTTGGGATGCTTCTTCAGAAGAGGCCTGCTCAGGAGCTTTCTCTGCTAAAGCTTTGGGGGTTGTGGTGGTCAGCTAGAGGGGATCAGTGCTTATGAGAAAGCAACCGCAGGAAAAGTTCCTACTTGAGGGGGGGGGATCTCTAATCACAATCCAGACATCCGTCCATTGTGTTAAGCACATTTGTTGCCTTCATTTTCAAAACATTTTCTATTTGAGCCCTTGGTATCAGCTCTTGAAGGCATCTTTACTTTGATTTCTGAAAAACCCCTGTGCTGTAAACCAAACCCCCCCCAACGCACACACCCCCAAAGCAGCTGCCAGGGCCCCACGCAGCCAGCAGACCCACCTGGGGAACTGCTGGCACAAAGTAGCCACCAGCTGCAGGCTGGAACTGATTTAGGATGGCATTGGCAGGGAGTGCTCTCATGCCTGCCACCCGCTGCATGTACTGGTTGGTCAGGTGAGCCTTTCGCTCCTCCTTCCTCTGGGCCAGGGCTACGTACAGGGGCTTGGAGCCCACAATGCGGCCATTCATCTCGGTGACAGCTTTGGTAGCCTCTTCCGGAGAGGAAAAGCAGACGAAGCCAAAGCCTTTGCTTCTCCCATCCTCCAGCATCACCTGGAAAACAAGAGCATGCACTTGGACAAAGCTCTGCACTCAGGGGCTGGAATGAACAGCCTCAAAACGTGGGCTGTCCTGGGTCGGAGATTCTCAACCTTAACCCAGGTGGCACCCCAGGGCTGACCCAAGGGTAAAACTAGGCAGTTCCAGATGATTCGTTCCAGTTCCCGGATGCATATGGTTAGTGACCTACCAGGAAGAAAAGTCCCTGAGACCTAAGAAGTTAGCCATCCCCACAACATTCCTAAGAGGCCTGGCAAGTGTCAGGACTGGAAGAACTCACCTGCTGAGGCCTTGAGCAAGTTTCCCAGTCTCGGCAACACGAGGAACCACTTTTAAAATTCCACGTGCAGAGTCACCAGTGGGCATCGCCACTAACTGATTGGGACCACACATCAGCAAGACTAGCTGCCTTCCCGTGCCAGCTCTCCTCATTGCCCTCTCTGGGTCTCAATTTTCATCCTACACTAAGGAAAAGAGCCACACCAGGTTACAGGCCCACTGGCTCAGAATCTTGTCCACGAGCCACTTTTCCTTCACCTGAAAAGGTGATTGCTGTCCCTGATCTTCCTTAGAAGCATCTGCAGCACAATGAGGCTGAGCCAAAAAAGTACATCAACACCACAGAAAGCTGTACTGAAAATGACCTGCGTGTGAAGCCGATGCTTGTCGGCATACCCTCTCCTCCACCTAGGTCCACACAGCTGAAGGGCCTCTTCCCATTTCTCTAACCCTACCCCTCAACGACCCAGGGTCCAGCACCCACGCACACTCAAATGGAGTTCCTTGTAATTGTTCCAGTTAGGGGACCAAAAGGACTCTGAAAGGGGCGGCATCAGGATTGTAGGCTGGGTGGACTAAGGTTTTCTGATGGCAGTTCCACCCTGCAGGAACGAGCAGGTGCATTGTTGCGATAGAGGAAAAGTCATGGACACAACTTTCTCACTGATGCAGTTTTCGATCTTCCTTCCCAATAATCCCGTGATCATCCTATGTCCTCTGAGAAAATCTGTAAGTCACCCTTTGGGACCCCCAAGTCATCCCAACATTCCGAGAGCACTCTGCCTGGCCCAGCAGTCTCTTGGACGCCTCCCTTGTCGGGACCTTTGGTTGGAAGGCACTCTAATGAGACAAGTGCCCTTACTTCAGTCCTGTGCTCAGAATAAGCCTGCACCTGGATGAACTGGAACCCTGGTAGCAGTGGTTAGCCTGGCCCACATCGGCTTCCACGGCACCCTCTTGCTACCTCTGGGGTCTTGTAAAGCCGAGGACACCTAAGACCCATCACCGTCCCGAGCGGCAGAACGGGCCAGTAAAATTGGTGGGAACCATACAGTGCCTCGTTCTTGAGCATGGGGTACGACTACAATAGCTCTTTTGTTCTCTGCTTGCAAATGCCAGCCAGACCACCATGCCGATAAGCAAAGACCATCTCATCCCTTGACCTGACGGAAGGCCAGTCAACGTGGTGGTAGGAGAGGGGAGGGGCGGGCCTAGGTTGGCTTGTGTCTCTGGTCACCTCTCCCCACTGCACCTGAAAACCTCTTTGCCTAACACCCCAACCCCACCACCACGTTGGGAGTAATGCAGACAAGAGCTTGGCAGAGCCTCCATTCGCCAGCCCACCCTGACCCTTCTCTTTGACAGGCAGCAGGACCAATACTGCACCAGGTTCTGCCCAGACTTGCAGATGCCACCCATTTCTGTCACGATACCAATTGCCAAGGACACACAGCACGTATGTATCCCCATGTAACTAGGACTCAAACCCCTTACCTTTACAATGGAAGTTACCAACAACAAATAAAATTATCCTACGTGCTCAGTGGATTAAAAAAAATAAATAAAAATCAATGACGCACCGCTGGAGAACATGGAAAAAACAAGCATCACACCCCCGTTTTGTCCTCTAAGACCAGAATGGAAGTTCCTCAGGAAGGAGTGTGGCAGAGTTGTAGAGACAGGCCCCAAGACAAATGGAAACCACCCGTCTGGATTCCCTCTGCTCATGCTGTAGCACCATCTGTCCCCACACCAGCACGAGGCAGTCCGGAATGGGAAAGATTCAGGTGCTGAGGGCCCGCGTGGAGTGCGTGGTCAGGTTCATCCCGTATTTGGGGAGGCAGGCAGTGCAACGTTAACTGGATGAAACGCCATTCTCCCGAGCATGTTAACCAGATACACGCTTATTGACTAGAGTAACTAACTGGTAGGCTATTCTCGAACACCAGGAAACCACAAATGAGATCAATGGAACCCTAAGTGTCAATAACCCCACCCTCGCCAAGGCTTCTCTGCTTCTGGCCCCAAACCTCTCATTCAAATACCTTGGCGCTGGTGATTGACCCAAAAGGAGAAAACTCTTTCCTTAACTTCTCATCGTCGATGGTGTCATCCAAGTTCTTAATATAAAGGTTCACCCCCTGAGGAAGAAGCAGCATCGTTAATGGCACGCCTGTTGCCCTACCTATCTGACAAGACAATGGTGGCCCCTAGCCCAGCATCACTGGGCACTTGTTAGGAAATTCAAATTCTCAGGCCAGGTCCCAAACGCTAGGGCTGGGGCCCTGGAAGCCAAGCTCTGCAGCCACTGCCCCAACACTAATGCACCAGACCCCACAGGACCATGTGAGTCCAAGTGGCTCACATGATGACGAGCAACAGGCTGAGGGTCCCCTTTTAGCCCTGTTCTGCGGCCACTTGCAGAAGCCCTATTGGCAGAGTGGTTATGCTTTGGATTTCTAACCCCAAGGTCAGCAGTGTGAAACCACCAGCTACTAGGTGGGAGAAAGATGATTCTTTCTGTTCCCATCAAGCAAATTACACTCGAAACCCCCGGGGCAGTTTTGCCCTGTCCTATAGGGTTGCTGTGAGTCAAGATTAGTGGCAGTGAAATCCTTAAAAGCTTAGTACTCTTGGGAGGGGAGAGGCAAGAGCTCACCTAAAAACCCCAAAGAGAATGACCACTAAACAGAAGCCCATAGTGCAGGATGTCACAGTAAACAAATCCCCTGGGGGCAGGCTGAGCCATGACCACCTCTCACCTGATAACGACTAATTCTCTCCTGCTTCAGCTGCTCAAACTTCCGTTTTAACTCAGCCTGCCGCTCAACTTTCTTCTGTGCGCGGCCCACGAAGATGGCCTTCCCACCGATTTCCTTTCCGTCCATCTCCTCCACAGCCTAGAGAGGAAGCACATGCCTTTAAACCCCAGGATGTAAATGCAAGGGGGGTACGGAGGTCTGGAAGACCCAACTGATTTCTGGGGAAAGCAATCACTCCTGTAGGGCTACCCACTCAATCACTCTGCTTCTGAAGTCTGCTGAGCAAATTCAAGCCTCCTCATTTAAAAGTGGGGCTGTTGGTTCATACCAAGAGCAAAGGTACCACCTCTGTATAAACATGACCATTGCGGAGATGTACATAACTTGCCTTCTACTGAACGTCTGAGTTCCTTTTGTTGGTATTAAGGGAGGTGCTAAGGGCTTAGTGCGCACCACTCTGATAGGAAGGGAATGCGCCACTGTCGTCAAGCCTCCACCTCGGACCTTAGCTCCCTCACCTCTGAGTGGGAACAATGTTGTGTCGTCTTTGCAGCCAATAGGGCCAGGCAACTGACAACTCAAGGTATGTGCCATGCACTTTGAAAACAGTTAAGTGTAAATAATAACAATACATAATAAGGGTTTGGGGGGTGGCAGAGGGAGGGAGAAAAACGAGCTGATATTAAAGAGCTCAAGAAGATATTGTTCACAAATGATTCATGCCAATAATTGTACATGTCTGCTTGAGTTAACGGCCGTATGGTTTATTATAATAAGTGTAAAAGACCCCAATAAAAAGATTTTTCAAAATAACAAAAAGTTAACAGAAATGAACTAAAAGAGGAAAAAAAAAACCAGCTCAGTGATCTTAACGTATGGCATCAGACAAGGTGATGCCAGAGCAGTTCAGTTAACTGTGAGACCATTCCAGCTCCACGCTGCTGTGTGTCCAAGGCCCTGCCCCACACCCTAAGGGGACTACCTCCTGCAAACCCTGGTGGTACTCTCACCTTATTGGCATCTTCGTGTTTTTCGTAACTCACAAAGCCAAAGCCTTTGGATTTCCCATTGGGATCTCTCATCACCTTGACACTTAAGGTCTTACCTATTTGCCAAAGGACAGAACTATTAGTAACACCATCTCTACTACAGTTTAAGGAGAGAATGCTTCTAGGAACCCACTTGAAACCAACTTCTCGCTGAACCCACCATGGCCTGCAGGGCAGAGGCCCCATGTCTGGATTCTAATGAATTCCAAGTAGCTGAGGTGGCCTTAGGGATGAGATGAGGTTGAAGTCTAGTCTTAGCTACCTTGATCTTTGTCATGCAAGGTATTTTACTTTCGGGCCTGGGCCCTCATCTCTTAAGAAAAACGAACAAAAGGATGGGGTCCCAGGTATCTGGTGGACAAAAGGGGACAGAGCAGGGCAAAGGACCCCGACTTACCAAATTGGCTGAACAGCTCTTTCAGACCCTCATCATCCATCTCTTCTCCAAAGTTCTTGATGTAAACGTTGGTGAATTCCTTGGCTTTGGCCCCAAGCTCAGCTTCCCGCTCTTTTCGAGACTTAAACCTGCCCACAAACCTACAAAGAAACCACATAGCACACACCAGTGACCACCCAGAAGGACTAAACAGATAATTTCCAGGGGCCCAAAGGAATGTTTGTTAAGGGCTCACAGGAGTTAAAATCAGTCCCCACACAACCACCAGAAGAGCAAGCTCAGAGATGTCAAGTCCCTAGCAGAAAGTGAGGCAGGACTTTCCTACAAGGACCACTTCCAGGGCTCGTAGCTCAGACCAGGGCTACGCCTACCACATCACACTGCTCATGAAGGAACCTGCTGACCAGGTTTTCAGTGTGCATTTCTGTGCATCTAGGTAAATGCACAGAAAGAGGCTGGAATGGTACAAACCAAACTGTTTTAACAGTGGCTAATCCTGGGAGGAGCAAGCCTGTTGGGAGTGTATTAGGAACCACCCTGTTAGTGACTTTTGGTATTGTTTACATCAAACAGGAAAATTTTCACAAATGTTTCCATCTCTTCTATGATACCAGTGAAAAATCTGGCTGCTGGGCAAATTACCAATGTGACCCATCACCAACTTGGCCAGGAGGACCAAGGACAGACTTATTTAATGCCAAGACTTCCTGTTCTCTCATTTCTCCACTTCATGCTGCCCCTCCTTCCCACTCTCCACAGCAATGAGCACACCACAGCAGTAAGGTCTGCTACGAACAATGTCTTCCACAGCAGTAGCCCTCCTGGACCTACATTAAGTGTTACTGTGGAGCCAGCTCTGTATGAAGCTGTTGAGTCCTATAGGTAGGAGCAATTGGGATCAACTTGAGACCCAGGGACAGACTCGACGCATCGCAAGGCCAAGGTCACATGGCTAGTCCACAGCTCCTGGTCAGTCCAGGGCCCTCTCCACTCTGCCGCTGGCCAAGACCCCCGCTCAGAGTGGGCTTAGAGCTGCCTTCCAGCCAGCCCCAGGTGCTGGATGCTCACAAAACCCAGACGCAGGCCATTTCAGGGGAGAGGCAGCAGGCAGGCAGGCCATGGCGTTGGCAGGAAGCCCACCTTGGCGAGTCAAAAGGGCTGCCACGGCTTGGGCAGGAAGACTCACCAGCCCTGGAGTGGAGAGGTAGGAGCAGGCCACTTGGGCCGAGAACCAGTAGCTGCCTTGTGTGTGCCAGTTAATACCGAGGTGGGGCCATGGCTGGCTCATGCGATGGCGGTTGCTCCAGACTGGGACACTCACACTTTGCGGTCATTGAGGAGCATGCCATTCATCTTCTCGATGGCCTTGTCGGCAGCCTCTTGGGTCTCGAAGTGGACAAAGGCATAACCCTTA